GCGGGAGTTGCTTAACGAGGACTCGCTGACCTCGTTCATCCTCAGGGACGAGGCGATGCAGGAGGCCAAGAGGTCCGCGGAGCTCCTACCGCAGGCGAACTACGTCGTCCCGCCGAAGCAAGGAAGTCGTCCGGGGCAGTGCGGCAAGCCTGGCGGCGGTGGTAGCGGAGGTAAGAGGCCGGCCAAGGACGCCGACAAACAGAAGTCGGCCAAGGATGGCGGTCGGGGAGGAGAAGGTCGACGTCAGGGATGCTGGCTGTGCGGCGACCCGAACCACCTCTCCTTCAAGTGTCCTGACCGCAGCGACTCCGACGACGACGACACCAAGGGAGGCCGCGGGAGGTCGGCCAGGCATCCCCCTCGTCGGGAGAACACGCCGCACAAGGAGAAGCTGTCGACCAAATCGTCCCCGGCGAAGGACGCCGACAACTCCTCTGGCGGCAAGGGGCGAGGCGACAAGGAGGCGTCGTGCTCGCTGATCAGCGTCGTGGAGCCGACCGTCTCGCTGGCGCCGGAGGCCGGCGAGGACTTCCATGCGATGGTGGCAGCCGTGCAGGCTAACCCGGCGGTGGCCTTGCTGGACAGCGGCTGCTCGCACCACCTGATGGGGACGAAGGCGGCTTTCGTCGACCTGGAGCTTAGTGGCGACATCAAGCACGTGCACGGCTTCAATGGGCCGCTGCAGGATGTCTAGGGCCGCGGCATTGTCGCCCTGCAAGGAGCAGCAGGGAGGCAGATGCTCATCCCCGACGTGCTCTACGTCTCGGACGTGCAGGCAAACCTGCTATCAGCCGGCCAGCTCAAGAAGAGCGGCGTGAAGCTGCAGGACGACGGTGACAGATTGCTGCTCGTCTCGGCGACGGGGGACGTCATTGGTCGGGCGACGTACACCGGCCGGGTCCTCGGTACCGACCTTCATCCCTGCTCGGACACGTCGACGACGCCCACGACGGAGGTAGTGGTTCTGCGGGCGATAGTCTCGGTGATGAAATCGACTCCGGCACGGTGGCACGCCAGGCTTGCACGTCGGCATCGACACCATCACGAGCTCGGCGAAGCACGAGGTCGCCACCGGCCTGGACATCCAGCCATCGGCCGGTACCGACTCGCCGTATGCCTCGTGCGTCGGTGGGAAGCTGGCGCTGCACACCTTCCCCGACAAGGGCTCCGACGCCGAGGACGCCCTGGCTGTCGTGCACATCGACCTGTGCGGGCCATTTTGGGTAGCTGCCAAGGATGGCAGCCTGTACTTCTTGCCGTTGAGGGACCGCAAGACTCGCTACGTATGGGTGAGGCCGGTCGCCAAGAAGTCGGACGTGCTGCGGAAGTTCAAGAAGTGGATGGTGGTGGCTGAGCGGCAGATGAAGAAGTCGGTGCTGATGCTTCACTCTGACCGGGGAGGGGAGTTCCCCGGGAAGGAGTTCACCGCCTTCGTGGACAAGATCGTACACGAGTTGACCTGCCCCTACACACCGCTGCAGTACGGAGTGGCGGAGCAGGAGATGCGGACGGTGGTTGAGTCGGTGCAGACAATGCTGCTGCACATGGGCATGCAGCACCACTCGTGAAACCTCGCTATCCACATGGGTATGTAACGGACTTACTTTTAGCACCATCCACATAGAGAAGAAACACATTTTCTCTTAGTACCATCGAGATGGGTAAGTAACACATTTACTCTAAGTACCATCCACATGGATAAGTAGTACATTTAAATGTAGTACCATCCACGTGGGAAGGTAACGACCATACTGTCAGTACCATTCATAAGTAAGCAACACACTTACTCTTACTACGATCCATATAGGTAAGTAACGCACTTACACTTAGAACCATCCACATGGGTAAGTAACGCACTTACGCATAGCACTATCTACAGGGTAAGTAACGCATTTAGTGTAAGTACCATCCACATGGGTAAGTAACACACTTACTTTAGTACCATTCACATAGGTAAGTAACACACTTACTCTTAGTACCATCCACATGGATACATAACGCACTTACTATTATTACCATCCGCATGGGTAAATTACGCACTTACTCTTAGTGCATCCACATGGGTGTATCGCACTTACTGTTAGTACTACCCACATGGGTAAGTAACACACTTACTCTTAGTACCATCCACATAGGTAAGTAACGCACTTACTTTTAGCACTGTCCACATGGGTAAGTAACGCACCTACTCTTAGCACCATCCACATGGGTAAGTAATACATAATTTTTTTGTACCATCCACCTGGGAAAGTAACGACCATACTGTTAGTACCATCCATAGGGGTAAGTAACACACTTACTCTTCGTACCATCCTTATAGGAAAGTAACACGCTTACACTTAGTACCATCTACATGGGCAAGTAACGCACTTACTCTTAGTACCAGCCTCATGGATAAGTAACGCACTTATTCTTGGTACCATCGACATGGGTAAGTAACGCACTTACGCATATTACTATCTACAGGGTAAGTAACGCATTTAGTGTAAGTACCATCCACATGGGTAAGTAACACACTTACTTTAGTACCATTCACATAGGTAAGTAACACACTTACTCTTAGTACCATCCACATGGATACATAACGCACTTACTATTGTTACCATCCGCATGGGTAAATTACGCACTTACTCTTAGTGCATCCACATGGGTGTATCGCACTTACTGTTAGTACTACCCACATGGGTAAGTAACACACTTACTCTTAGTACCATCCACATAGGTAAGTAACGCACTTACTTTTAGCACTGTCCACATGGGTAAGTAACGCACCTACTCTTAGCACCATCCACATGGGTAAGTAATACATATTTTTTTTGTACCATCCACCTGGGAAAGTAACGACCATACTGTTAGTACCATCCATAGGGGTAAGTAACACACTTACTCTTCGTACCATCCTTATAGGAAAGTAACACGCTTACACTTAGTACCATCTACATGGGCAAGTAACGCACTTACTCTTAGTACCAGCCTCATGGATAAGTAACGCACTTATTCTTGGTACCATTGACATGGGTAAGTAACGCACTTACGCATATTACTATCTACAGGGTAAGTAACGCATTTAGTGTAAGTACCATCCACATGGGTAAGTAACACACTTACTTTAGTACCATTCACATAGGTAAGTAACGCACTTACTCTTAGTACCATCCACATGGATACATAACGCACTTACTATTGTTACCATCCGCATGGGTAAATTACGCACTTACTCTTAGTGCATCCACATGGGTGTATCGCACTTACTGTTAGTACCACCCACATGGGTAAGTAACACACTTACTCTTAGTACCATCCACATAGGTAAGTAACGCACTTACTTTTAGCACTGTCCACATGGGTAAGTAACGCATCTACTCTTAGCACCATCCACATGGGTAAGTAATACATAAATTTTTTGTACCATCCACCTGGGAAAGTAACGACCATACTGTTAGTACCATCCACAGGGGTAAGTAACACACTTACTCTTCGTACCATCCTTATAGGAAAGTAACACGCTTACACTTAGCACCATCTACATGGGCAAGTAACGCACTTACTCTTAGTACCAGCCTCATGGATAAGTAACGCACTTATTCTTGATACCATCGACATGGGTAAGTAACGCACTTACTCTTTGTAACATCCATTTGGGTAAGTAACTCACCTACTCTTAGCACCATCGATATGGGTAAATAATGCACTTACTGTTGCTACCATCCAAATAGGTAATTACATACTTACTCCTAGTACCATCCACATGGGTAAGTAAAGCACTTACTCTTAGTACCATCCACCTGGAAAAGTAACGCACTTACAGTTAGTACCATCCGCATGAGTAAGCAACGACCTTACAATAAGTACGATCCACATGGCTAAGAAACGCATTTTCTCTTAGTACAATCTACATTGGTAAATAACACTTACTATGAGTACCATCCAAATTGGTAAGTATTCACATACTCTTACTACCATCCACATTGGTATGTAACGCACTTACTGTTAGTACCATCCACATGGGTAAGTAATTACCTTTTTGTTAGTACCATCCATATGGGTAAGTAACGCACTTACGCATGGTACCATCGACATGGGTAAGTAACGCACTTACTCTAAGTACCACCCATCTGGGTAAGTAACGCACTTACTCTTCTATCCACTTGGATAACTAGCGCCCTTTCTATTGGTACCATCGACATGTGTAAGTAACGCACTTACTCTAAGTACCATGCATAAGGGTTAGTAACGTACCTATTCTTTTTGATAGTGTAGGTGGTTGTATTTTGCTCTAGCTGGTTGTGGGCTAAGGGTTCGGGCAAAATGTGCTTGCTAGACTTGTTGCGGGCTGGAATTGATCTCGCACCCAACAAGCGCCAACAAACATTTGCTTTTCACTACAACACCTTTGGTATTGCTAGTTTGGCAATTTGGGTTGTTGGGAATTGTTGTAGGGCGAGGGTTGGGTTGGTAGGGTTTGACCAACTCGTCACTTTGCAGATCTGAACTCTTGCTAAAGCTAGTTTCTTGATCTAATCCATCGCTGCTTATTAATTCCGCCAGGATACACCGTCGCACTTAAATCGCGATAACGATCGGCCTAGATCTTGGTTGAAGGTGTGCGTTACCATTCTGGAAAGTAGAGATCAAGACCTTTCTAACGCGTACCTGCTCGTAGTTTAAAGCCAGCAGCTAAAATAGTGACCCCCCCCTTCTAGTGGGTCCACTTGAAATCCCAAACTAACTCTGTGAAGCTTATGAAAGTCGAAGTGATGTTCTGTTTTGTTTTTCAGACACGTTCAAGTATTCACACAAAAAAATATACAAAAGCGTCGTAAGCATGTGCAAATGCGTCGCATGCATCCGACGTGCAAATCCCAACCACATCGTGTGCCAATTTCTACAAGTGTTGCATGTGCAATTCACGCACAACAAACGCCTTTGGCATGGGCCTGCTGGAGCGGAAAAAACAGCATAGGAAAACCAGAATGCGGTAAAAAACAGAGAGTTTCAAATTAGAGATAAAAAGGGGATAGGGAGGCGGGAACGAAGACGCACGGAGAGAGCTGAGTGAGCGAAAATTGCGGAATGGTAGGGTGTTGGGAGAGACATTGGGAAAGGTGACGTAAGGTGGAGCTCGAGCGTAAGGGTGGGTCATGGGAGGGGAGAGAAAAAAGGCGACGGGCAAGCATTTCGGGGCGAGCGCGAAGGCGCAGAGGGTGGGTGATGGGAGGGCAGAAACGAAGGGCGACGGGCAGGCATTTCGGGGCGAGCGCGAAGGCGACGAGGTGGGTGATAGGAGGGGTGAAACGAAGGCTCACGAGCAGGCACTTCGAGGCGAGCGCGAAGGCGCAGAGGGTGGGTGATGGGAAGGCAGAAACGAAGGGCGACGGGCAGGCATTTCGGGGCGAGCGCGAAGGCGACGAGGTGGGTGATAAGAGGGGTGAAACGAAGGCTCACGAGCAGGCATTTCGAGGCGAGAGCGAAGGCGCAGAGGGTGGGTGATGGGAGGGCATAAACGAAGGGCGATGGGAGAGAGAAAGGGCGACGGGAGAGAGGATAGCTGATGGGAGAGTGAAAGGGCGACAGAAGGGAGGAAAGGCGACAGGAGAGAGAAAGGGCGACGGGGGAGAGGGCGATGGTAGAGAGAAAGGGCGACGGGGGAGAGAAAGGGCGACGGGAGAGAGAAAGGGCAACGGGGGAGAGAAAGGGCGACGGGGGAAAGAAAGGGCGACGGGGGAGAAAAAGGGCGATGGGGGAGAGAAAGGGAGAGGGGGAGAGAAAGGGCGACGGGAGAGAGAAAAGGCGACGGGGGAGAGAAAGGGCGACGGGAGAGAGGATAGGTGACGGGAGAGAGGAAGGCGACGGGAGGCGGAAGGGCGACGGGAGAGATGAAGGGAGAAGGGAGAGAGGATACGCGACGGGAGGGAGGAAGGGCGGCGGGAGAGAGGAAGGCGACGGGAAGGCACAGGAGGGGCGAGCGCGAAGGTGCAAGAAGGGACAGGAGGAACGAGCGCGAAGGCGACGGAAGGGGCGAGCGGGAAGGCGATGCGAAGGCGACGGGACGGGCGATGGGAGAGCACGAGGGAGACGGGGGGAATAACGTCCCAAGCGGAGAGCAAAGGGACCTTACAATGACTGGAAACGTAACGATTGCGCGAAACGCGAAATAATAGTTCGTCACTAGGCCACGAATAGACCATGAATCGAAGTTAATTTCGGTACTTGCCTAGGCTAAATCAACCAAGTATTGGGCTATTCCTAGCTAGGCAGAATAAGAGACTTCTGGAGTAGAAAGTAGTCATGTAACCCAGGCCCAACTTGAAGTTGACGTTGGGCCCAACGATCAAAATAATCGCTGTACAGCTGTCGTGCGGGTGCCCCATGTTGAAGGCGACTCATTGTCTGTGATGCAACATTTTCGTTTTTTGGCGGGAGCCAATCAAATGAGTTTGATCTGCACACACGAAATATTTGAAACAGTGTTTTATCAGCCCAGAGTCTTTTTCGCCCCGCGACACTCTTTCAAGTTGGGACGGGGTTAACTATTTTAGCTTTCGATTTAAAGTTACGTGAGCTGCACGAAATGTTTCGTCGAGGTCGGCGGACTTAATCTCTTGTACGCTCTCCAGATTCGCTCGCTTTCCATCAGTGCTATCAGAGCTGGTTAGGCCTGCGACATTCCCTCTTTTCATCATATTTCGAATTGGTTGAAGGACCTCCAGATCTAGGTCTGGTCATGGCCCAGAAATTAGATGGCCCTCCTAGGTTCACCGGCTCGGATTTTTCGCTATGGCGGTTCCAGTTTACGCTTTGTACGCGCCATGATGGAACAGTGCAAGCAGAAAGGACGAGCTTGTTAAGGAACGAGATCGAGATGGAAGCTTTGCAGTTCGGTCGATTTGAATGTGCAGATTCAGTTTTATCCAACTCGGAACTGTATTGTTTCGTTTGGCTAACTATAGTGTAGCAAGGCAGGCACTATAGGGGTACAATGTAGGTGAAGGTTGGATGTTGTTTGTCTGTATCTGCATGCTACAGGGCTAGGGAAAACCAGGGGAACCAGCATTTGGCTGGTTGGGCAAAGACAAATCAGGTTCTGTTTTTAGGACATGAACCTGGTTGTTGTTTTCCCAGGTTGGAAAAACAGAACCAGAGGTTGTTTTCCAACCTACCACCTGCTGTTTTGTCCAGCGAGGTTGGCTCTATTGTTTGGAATCATTTGGAATCATCCCTGGTTGTTCCCAGGTTGATTCCCAAGGTCCTTGCTAGCTAGAATTATATTTCTTCTCTGTTTCTACGTGGATGTATAGTCTATTTGATTCAAACGAATTCCTTCCTTGCTGGAATTTCGTTTCTACACAGTGCGACGGCAGAATGCTACCAAATCAACGCTAGTACGCTCGCACTACAACGCTAGGACCCTTGAAGGTGACCTCGAGGAGAGGTTTTAAGTTTGATTAAGTCATATTAGCCTGAGTTTATTAGGCCCTATACCAACAAGCTGGTATCAGAGCTGCGTTATAGCGATCCTCGTTATATGTAGCTATGGCGGGAAATACCTCGGCGGGAGCTGGTGAATCTTCAGCCCAAGATCGTAGCGGCAGCCAAGATTCTGGTGTTTCGGCGCCACGGGGAGCGCGAACAAACCAGGGCTCGCTGATCAAAGAGTTGCCGTTGAACTTCTCCGTCGAGAAGTTCAACGGTGAGGGCTATGATGGTTGGGCCTGGAAAATGCAATTGTATTTCCGTCAGATTGGATTGCTGAAACTAATGATTGGGGAGGAGCCTAGACCGAGTGACCCCGCGCCGCAGGAAGAATGGGACGAGCGCTTCTCGGCTGGCTACTACTTAATGTCGCAGAGTTTGGAGCTGAACCAGCGACACCACGTCATGCACCTGCTGCCGGAGGATAAGTGTGGTCGGAAGGCGTGGACCGTGTTGAAGGAGCTGCACGCCCCAACCTCCGTTGTCGCAACGTTAATGCTGGAGAGGGAGCTGTTGTCAAACATTATATGTTTATATTGTGTAGGCTATAGTGGGTTTAGCCTTAGGGGGTACAACTTTGCTAGGGTTTCCTACTTGTATCCCCATCATTCCTAGTTTCATCATTCTCGTTCTGCTCTACATTCTAACATGGTATCCGACACCTAGGTCAGGACCTAGGACCGACGTTGGTTTGGGCCCACCGTTCCACCGCGCCGTCGAGCGCCCCTTCTAGCGCCGTCGAGCGCCCCTACTAGCGCCGTCGAGCGCCCCTTCTTGCGCCGTCGAGCGCCCCTCCTAGCGCCGTCGAGCGCCCCTTCGTGCGCCGTCGAGTGCCCCCTCTAGCGCTGCCTTAGCCCGTCGCGTCGCCCTTGTGGGCTGCCCTAGCCCGTCGCGTCGCCCCTGTGGGCTGCCTTAGCCCGTCGCGTCGCCCTTGCGGGCTGCTCTAGCCCATCGCGTCGCCCCTGCGGGCTGCCTTACCCCGTCACGTCGCCCCTGCGGGCTGCCTTAGCCCATCGCGTCGCCCCTGCGGGCTGCCTTAGCCCGTCGCGTCGCCCCTGCGGGCCGCCTTAGCCCGTCGCGTCGCCCCTGCGGGCCGCCTTAGCCCGTCGCGTCGCCCCTGCGGGCCGCCTTAGCCCGTCGCGTCGCCCCTGCGGGCCGCCCTAGCCCGTCGCGTCGCCCCTACGGGCCGCCTTAGCCCGTCGCGTCGCCCCTGCGGGCCGCCTTAGCCCGTCGCGTCGCCCCTGCGGGCCGCCCTAGCCCGTCGCGTCGCCCCTGCGGGCCACCTTAGCCCGTCGCGTCGCCCCTGCGGGCCGCCTTAGCCCGTCGCGTCGCCCCTGCGGGCCGCCCTAGCCCGTCGCGTCGCCCCAGCCGAGCCGCCACTGCAGCAGCCGCCCCTGGCCCCTGGAGCAGCCGCACCTACAGCCGCCCCTGGACCCTGGAGCAGCCGCCTCTGCAGCAGCCGCCCCTGGCCACCTGGAGCAGCCGCTACAGCAGGAACCGCCCCTGGACCCTGGAGCAGCCGCCCCTGCAGCAGCCGCCCCTGGCCCCTGGAGCAGCCGCCGCTGCAGCAGCCGCCCCTGGCCCCTGGAGCAGCCGCCACTGCAGCAGCCGCCCCTGGCCCCTGGAGCAGCTGCCGTCGCGGACCGGCCCTGCCCTGCAGCAGCTGCTGCGGAGCTCCCTGCCGCGGAGCTCCCTGCCGCGGCCCGGCCCCGCCCTGCAGTTATAGCGGCCCCGCTGTCGCCACCGTCTTACGCCTGCCGCGCCGACCACTGGTGAGCATTGCCCTGCCCGCACTGCTACCGCTGCTACTGCTGCTACTGCCTTTACTGCTTCCACTACTACTGCTCCTGCTGTTACTGCTGTTACTGCCGCTACTGCTGCTACTGCTGCTCCTGGCGTGGCCAGATGCAGCTCCAGGGCCGTGCGCGTGAGTCCCTCACGCCCCAGCAGCTTCGTGAGTGGTACGCTAGTTGGGGCTGTCGGGGTGGCCGTAGTGGTAGTCGCTCTGGAGTGGGTCGTTCGGGAGCTTCGGGTAGTGGACAGGTGCAGCTGCCGTGTCCTCTTTCACCCCAGCAGCTCCGTGAGTGGTACGCTCAGAGTAGAGGGTCACTGAGTACTGCTCGCTGCCCGTACGTCATTCGCACAGGTGTCCGGACTGGTCAGCCTTGCGGGACCCGTGGCCACACAGAGTCCCACTGCTTCGCCCGTCTGGGCGACGCTTGGCGTACAGAGTTTGGCGACGCCGCTGAGCTCCCCTCCTGGGTGGAGCTGCTTAGGCAGAGGGTAGATATCTTTGCTCTTGACTCTGATGCTATCCTCACTGCCATGTATGCATTGTCTACTAGTACTGAGAGTGCCTGTCCCCTGTGTGTACCGCCTGACCCCGGTATCCAGTCTGCTGCTCTAGGTACTGGTGTGGCTGCCGCTCTAGGTGGTAGTGCGTCTGCTGCCCTAGGTCCTCGTGAGGCTGCTGCTCTAGGTGCTGGTGAGTCTGCTGCCCCAGGTACTCGTGCGTTTGCACCTGCTGGTACTGCGTCTACTGCGGCACTGCACACCTTCACACTGGACTCCGGTGCTTCCCGCTGTTTCTTTCGTGACCGCACGGCCCTTGAGCAGCTTGCTCGGCTGGTTGCAGTCTCCCTCGCTGACCCCTCTGGGGGTCCGGTCCTTGCGACCTCCTCCACTGTCCTCCCTTGTCCTGCGGTCCCGTCGGGCACACTGTCAGGTCTCTACCTCCCCTCGTTCTCTACGAACTTGGTGGCGGGTAGTGCGCTCCAGGACGGGGGTGTCCACCAGTTCACCCCTGCCTACGAGCGCGTGACACACTGCACGTGTGCTCGGACGGGCCGTCACCTGGCTACCTTCACTCGGCAGCCGGGGTCGGACCTGTACACACTGACCACTGAGTCCCCTCAGGTAGCTGCGTCTGCGTCTGCGTCCGGTCAGCTGTCGGCCCCCTGCTCGTGTCGCTCTCTAGCGCACGAGACCGTCCTCTGGCACCACCGACTTGGTCACCCGTCCGTGCAGCGCCTTCGTGCCATGCACAAACGATACCTTGTCTCTGGTCTTCCCAGGGTTCTCCCTCCCCTCCCACCCTCGCCTGCTCCTCCCTGTCTTCCCTGTGTCGAGGGGCGGCAGCGCGCCGCTCCTCACTCCTCCTCGTTTCCCCCGACGACTGCTCCCTTGCAGACGCTCCACATGGACGTGTGGGGCCCAGCCCGCGTCCGTGGTCAGGGTCAGGAGAGGTACTTCCTGATAGTTGTTGACGACTACTCGCGCTACACCACGGTCTTCCCCTTGCGCACCAAGGGTGAGGTCCCTGATGTTTTGATCCCTTGGATCCGCGCTTCTCGTCTCCAGCTCAGCGAGCGTTTCCACTCGGACTTTCCTTGTCCTGCGCTTGCACTCTGACAGAGGTGGTGAGTTCTCCTCCGACCTCTTAGCAGCCTACTGTGCGGAGCACGGCATCCGCCAGTCGTTCACGCTTCCGGCCTCTCCACAGCAGAATGGGGTTGCTGAGCGCCGCATTGGCTTGGTCATGGAGGTCGCTCGTACCTCCTTGATCCATGCGGCTGCCCCCCACTTTCTGTGGCCGTTTGCGGTCCGATACGCTGCGCATCAGCTCAACCTCTGGCCCCGTGTCTCCTTGCCGGAGACTTCGCCGACACTGCGTTGGACGGGAGAGGTTGGCGATGCGTCGCGTTTTCGGGTCTGG